GCGCGAGCATAATGAATTTTGCTTCAAAATTTTCTCCATTATGTCTCTGTTTCCTATGTGGACGTAGTGGAGTATTTGGATTAACTTCAAATTTACCGTTTATTTCTGTTTCGCGAATGTATTTGTTCTCGAATAGATCAGATAAACAGTAGCCGAACTCATGGAATCACTTTCTTTACTGTTAGGACATATTATAAAATTTTGCGTTGTGCATAGGCGGTTACACAAAAGGTTACGAACTAGCCGGCTTGTTAGTGCGTTTGGTGGAAATCCATTCCCTCTTACTGAATTTTCTAGACCGACCTTTCTCAAGCAACGTCTTATTGCAGCATCTGTTTCGTTGGAAACGAAGGGCAGTATAAACGGAGTCTTAACCTCCCTAGAATTACCGTTTGGCGGTGTGTTTTTTCCGCCTCGGCCATCCTGAGGTGCTACAGCTTCGTAGCCATTGGGAATGACCATCTACTGCGCCAATTGTAAGCATTCTTCACTCTGCTCTCTTTATGTGCAGACGTTGCTGGTCGCTGGAGACATGTTTCTCACAAGCGGCCTTTTAGTGTTTGGGGTGTAAAAGGAGAGGCAATAAACCAGTAGGTTCGTATTACTTGGCTTCTGGTACTATTTGACGATGTAGCCGTTTTTCAATGCCGATCTTAAAACAAAGTCGGTCCTGAGATGCTAGGAGTATCCTGCATGAAGCAAATGAGGCAACTGATGCTAAGCTTCGATCTATGCCAATGTTTAAAAGCCAGAGACGTCCTTCTACACGTCAAAGTGAAGATATGGCGGACCGAACACGTAATGCATTTAAACGAAAACTGATAGAAAAGGGCCGCTGTGACTTGATTCATCGGGATGTCAAACGTACTGAAGAAAGACCGCCGACCCGATGCTCAGAGTTTTTTATGAAAATCCTGGAAGAAATATGCGATGTTCAACGAGCCTTTAAAACAAGCAGAACCTACTGGACTATTCTTGCGCGCAACAGGGAGAAATTGAAAGTTTACTGGCGACCGCTTGTTTCATTGGCTGGTCGATAGGACGATAAGTGGCAAGTGATGAATAATCAGTGTTTTGAATTAGATTATTAGGCTAATACAAGGTTGATAGGTGCTCTATCCACCTAACATTTCCATCTCTTCGTCTTCCTTTGAGCAGCAGCAGTTTTGAGTCGCATGTCCACAGCCGTTCGTCTTTCCGCTGCACTGCAGGCCTTCTTGATCTCATCGAGTCGAATCTTTTTGAGTAAAGCACTATTTGAATAAAGTTGAAGTTGAATAAAAACGTTGATTCGTTATTTGTGAGTTAATACATGACCGATTTCTGCAGAGTCCAATGTCACAATGGAAACAGATCGGATGAGTAGTAAAAATAAATCAAAAATCGGTCTGTGTAAACGGATATCACTGTGTGGGGCTAATTTATTTTAGAGATGCTTCACTTGAGAAGATTTCATTCAACACGGCTACGACGACCCACGTTGTAAGGGCGATCGACTATGGGACCATCGACCTGAATCATTGCGGATCTGAAGAAGGCAAAGCCTCGCAAAATTAGTCAAATAAAGCATTAATAATTACTTCATTCTAGCTTCATGATCCAAGAAAATTCTTAATACTGAGTTTCGGTTCCTTCTTTCTTGGTTTTTTTATGTTAATTTTTATGGCCTTATCCTTTTTTCTTGCGGCACGGCGGTCGGTGGTGCAGTAGTCGGAGGCGCCCTGCGACACACACGTGGAATCGATCCCGTGCCCATGGCTCACCAAGCCTTCCATCCCTCCAGGGTCGTCAAATTGGTACCACTTGTCTAGGAGGATAGCAGCACAAGTTCGATACATCGTTAGGCCACTGCGAGCCATTGTAAAGGCCAGATATGCATTCATTCATCTTCAAACGTTGCTTTAATGAAGTCGAATGTGTGGCTGTCGGCGTTGGGGATTGGAACCCCACAGGGATTGATCAACGCCGAGAGCTTTATCCTTTTTATCCTTTTATCCTTCTTTCCTTACCCTGCTCGGTTTTTCGTTCACTTTGCAAATCTGAAGAATATGAACAATTCTGGCAACGTAATGTTCGGATAGCCGCAAACGAAAAATAATTTCACTACTAGTTTTTGTTGCAGCTTCAATCTGGATTTTTTTCATTTCGCCATTATTTTATTCTTATTTTTTTCCTTGTATGTGCCAGTTATCATTCTTCGCTTCCAATAATCTTCGGCAAATGAACTTTTATGTAAACAAATCAGAGCAGTTTAAAGCAAAGTTGCGAAGAATATGAACCATGCCAATTATGATGAATTGCTGTCATTCTTATCATTCTTTCACTGCGGTCACCGTATTCTGTTGGGAATTAGTGATGTCGAAGAAGAAGAAGAAGCGCAAACAGAAACCGAAAGAGGAGAAAAAGGAATGAAGGAATAATAGGAAAGAGATGGAGATGAAAGATGAGAAGTAGAAGAGAGCTAGTAGAAAGAAACAGGAGATGAAAGAGAACACGGAGGTCATCAAGCAGAATAAATTGGGAAGCATGGCTTGTCTAGCTGAGCCAGTAATTCTAACTTTTCTTTTTCTTCTTTTTCTTTCTGATTCTCTGCTGGCATATCATCAAACATGGGAGCATTTTTCGTTTATAACCAATCAACGATGGATGTATGTATTCGGCAATTCTATTCGTTTTTGCTCGATTTGGATTGTGAGAAGTACTGTTAGTTGTCATAATATTACTTGTAATAGTTGATCTCATTTCACTTCCTCTCCTCCATTGTTTCTCCCTTTATGGCAGATGCTTTGAATATTTCAAGAGGAAGTATTTCTGTGACGTACTTATTTGTTCTTACTATCTTTGTACCTTTGTCATCTTCGGAAATATTTGACGATGCTGATCTTCATCGTGGGAGGGAAAATAATGAAAATGGTTATGATGATGACAAGGGGAATAGCAATTTTTCTCATAATTTAAGTCTACGAACATTTTCAGAATTCATTTCTCGTCGTTCTATATTCACATCGATTTGCTTTCATTTCTTCCTTACGGCTTCACTTCCTCATTTCTGGATCATCCAAAGCATCCGCAAAGTTCGGCTTTTATACGGGTCATGTTCAAAAAGGTAAGAAATTTCGCTGTTTCTTTGTCCATCTAAGGTTAACGTCGGTTACGTATTTGGTTCTGATTAGTTGCTTCTTATGGAAAGCAGTGGGAAAAGTAAAAAGAGTAAGTTTTTGTTGTTAATGACGCTTCTATCTAAGAAGCGCTCGTAAAACGTAATGAATGGATAAGGCTATTTCATGGAATCGCATTAAAACTCAATAAACGTTAGTTATTCTTTAATGAGGTTTGAAAATTAAGTGTGGAGAAAAGCATTCATTAATACAAACAATCAATATTTCGCAAGAATTTTGAACAGATTTCTTATTGGAACTAATTTGAGACTTTTATAACCAACTAAAAAGCTTATTGCAAGATAGGGAAACCGTAGTTCGATCTGGCCCGGGGTCTAAGTTTTGCGAATATCTCAGCATCGTTGTTATTGTAACATATTTTGCAAAGAGAACGTCTGAAAGTGTGACTACTTTTCCAACGTAAGATGTTGTCAAAGGATAGGAAGATTGACAAGTCTAAGATGTTTATTTGTGCTTTGGTGGTTTATTATTTATTGCTGTTATGTGGTTATTATTGATTAGTTTATGTAGCACCGGTTTCCGTCAGACGTAAGGAAGCTGGTGAAAAGAATCAATAAAGCTTAAGTGGAATACTTTAGAAACATGCAAGAAGTAACGATGTTTAAAAAGTTTTCATTTTTGCATTTAAATGATTTTTACAGTATTAGTTAATGAAAATTGACAGTATCGTGAATATTTTTCATTTGAGCCAAAACCTAGTCGGTTTAGTTTTTTCGGCTTTATTCATTAAATTTTATTCCTTAAGAAAATATGTCTGATTTTAGATGTCCTTGAAAACTCACAGTTTTTTTTACTGAAGTTTATTTCGTGCAGGTTGAAAGGATCACTTGTGTGGGCGCTGGTTATGTGGGTGGTCCGACTTGTGCAATGATCGCCTATAAATGCCCGGATATACAGGCATCTAATTTTTTCTATCCTTTTTTCCTTCTTCTTTTTTTCTTTCTCTTTTCTTACTTCTATGCAACTGAAAACATATTTGATTTGTTGACTTCTCAACTGCTGTTAGTATTGTTCTATTAGATTTTCGCTTAGCCGAATCTGTAAAAGCGGCATGTGTGTGTACATGAAAGAGATTTTTTGAACCTGATCTTTAAAGTTCTGCTCAATTCGATTAATTAAAGGTTAAAAGATTATTTTTTTGTGTTTATTAAATATAGCAACAACCTTAACCTTTATATATTAAATATAGCAATCTCCCAACGGTTTACGGCCTCATCGTGGCTGGGAGGTGTTCCTGGGTATCGGACTGCGCTGTACAGCAGGGGATTCATCTCTCCGCCAGGGCACTCCATGATAAGGAGTCCGGCGTTTCCGTCAGGAAGCGCAGCCAAGAGTACACCAATAGCAATACCGGGATTCACCACCGTCCTGGTATCAAACTAGTGGCATGGTGGCAAATCACCCTCTAATCCACAAGGGCTGCGACTGCCTGTGGTGGTGACGATGTGGTGCAGACTTTAGCCAGGCTGACCTTAAGACTCCAAGGCAACGTAATGGCTAAACTAGCAAAACTCCGAAAAGTGAAAATTATGCTGAGGTCTGCACAACCAGTGAGGACCGGCCGTCCAAGTATCCAAGTAGATATAGCAACTGGTTTCTATAATGCTTTTTAGAGACTAAAACATTTTTAGTGATAATTCGTCTAGTGCCCATGGTTTCAAAACATAGCCGAATTTTAGGAATTTTATAAAAATCCAATTTGTCTAGCCAGAAGCTTTGTGACACTGTGGAAAAACAATCACTCCAAAGCTGAGTCTCGTAGCCGAGTTACAATTAGGAATTGTGTATGATTAAATAAACCTTAGCGCTTTACAAGAGATAATGAATGTTCAGGTAACGGTCGTTGATATGAATTTTGACAAAATAGCCCAGTGGAACTCGGACAAATTGCCCATTTTTGAGGTTCTCAGTTTAGATTTTTTATATTATTGCTTTTCTAACATCATGCATAATCCGTTCGGAGCTTTTAGTGCTGTGATTTCTATTTGACTCCACTTTTGTCGCTAGTGCTGTTAGATAACGTGGATTAATGGCATTACTTTTTGTAATAGTTTAGTTCAACATCTACGAAAGACAATGAGACTTTTGAGGTAGAAGAATTAAGTACTGGTCTTAACTATGACAGAGTTCTAGCTATGATCGGCATCTACATTAGAACTTGATGCTCACCGATCAGTCTGTCACCAGTCCAGTGGTACTGTATGGATAATGCAAGGCCTAATCTGATTTTGCAGAAAAACTTGTGACCGTGTAGATATCAATTTGCACCTCTTAATAGCACTCTATATCACCATCACCACTTCCTTGAAGATATTTTTTTAGTTGTTTGTATACAAATATGGTTAGATGATCTTATAGCCGGGTTTAGAACATTTTTATAAAGGTATTGCTAATGAATATAATGTGGAGCATAAAGGTATTTATCGCAGAAAAGTTTACAGTTCTGGTCTGAATACTAGGGAATGAAGGGTGGCCATGAATGGCGTAAATAAACATGCAAAAATGACCTAATAATCCAAAATTAAGCCTGGACTTGACGAAATTGTTTTCGCTGCTCGAGGAAGGAATCTTCATTTCGTCACCGATATACCGAGGGCCATTCGTGAAGCTGACTTGATTTTCATTTCTGTGAATACGCCAACAAAAACCTATGGTAGAGGAAAGGTGAGTGGGATTGAGAAGGTTCTAGATGAAATCTCATCATCTGTCTAAAATTCTATGTTTGTTGCCCTATTAAAATCTACAAAGCTAAAAAATTGAGCTCCTAAAGGTTTCTGTCCTCGTGACCAATACGTCGTAGTGGATAACTGCTCGAGCTCTCACGAACACCATTCAATCCTTGTCAACCCATATTTCAATGGTTTTTCTTTTCATTTGTTCTTCTTTTCGATGTCAAGAATTGTTAGAAGCTTTGTGTTGCTAGCTTTATATTTTCTAGATTAGTCGATATACTTTTCACAGGGAATGGCTGCCGATCTGAAATACGTGGAGTCCGTATCGCGAACGATCGCCCAACATTCCGTTAGTCCAAAGGTTTGTTTTTCGATGTATAACTTTTTTCTACTGCCCATTTTTGGTTTTTTTTTTCCAGGGCGGGGTACTATGTGTAATACAACCACAATGATGCTGAGATATTTGCAAAACTTGGACTCTAAACCAAATCGAACCGCCATTACCCTTTCCGATCATTCCCACTCACGGAATGAATGGGTAATCGGTGTTCGATCTGGCCTGGGGTCCACGTTTTTCACATATCTCAGCATCATTGTTGTTGTTCTTCGATAGTTATTTGAAAGCTTCCTAAGTAAGTATGCTCCATTTTTAAATGTATTAATGGTTGTGAACAAGTAGAGAACACACGTCCACTTTGACATAACGGCGTGGACGATTTGTCTTAATCAATGGGCGGATATAATTTGCGAATTAGATGCTTCAATGAGCAATGAAAATAAAAGGGGTTGATGATAAAAAGTTATGATAGTAGTAAATACAAGTATAGAGAACAAACTTTACAAAGCTTATGAGGACTAGGATGGAGAAGATGTAATACCATATCTATAATAATAATGTAATAGAATTGGATAGAAAAGGCTCTCGGCCTTGATCAATCCCTGATAGATGCGCAATGCATTCGACTTCATTAAGCATCGTTTGGAGGTGAATGAATGCATATCTGGCCTTTACAATGACTCTCGATACCTTACTGATGTATCGAACAAGTGCTGCTATCCTCCCAGACAATTCTGCTACCAATTTGCCGACCCCGGAGGATGGAAGCCCTGGTGAGCCAAGCGCGCGGGGATGGATCCCATGTGTATTGCAAGGTGCCTCTGACCACTGCGCCACGTGCGCCCCGCAGAATCGGATATCGTATAAAATTACTCGTTGAAATAAATAGAAAGAAGACAGGGTAATTAAGAAGAAGAGAAAGAATTTGTGTTCGGCATTTCTGTTCTAATATCTTTGAGATGTAAAGTTATACTGTTAGTATAGATTGTGGTGGAAAAAAGTACAGTACCAGTTCGAGCAGCTGAAAGTATCAACTACATTCTTAGAGAAGCTCAACAAAATGATCCACGTCTGTCATTCCAGGTGAATGCGTTTTTACTTTCCACTTCAATTCTCACCAGTTTTTTTTTCATTTAAATATTTTATTACCAAGCACTTTGATTTGCTTAGGTGCTTTCAAATCCCGAATTTTTGGCTGAAGGGACAGCTATAAGAGATCTATCGAATCCGGATCGGGTTCTGATCGGAGGAGAATCTTCACCGCAAGGTATTTTGTAGTTGTATTACCAGAATCACTCGACGAATTTTGGGATACTCGATAAAATTCGATTGTGCTAAACCATTTTTCTTGATGCCGATAGAAGTAGTTGAAACAAGGTATAAATAGTAAATGAAACCGTATTACTTTCCTTATCCCATCAAGCAACGAGGTACCAAAATGCTTCTCAAATTTTTTGTTGTTACTATTATTAGTATTATAATTGTTATTATAAAGGCGCGTGTGGCGCAGTGTTCGGAGGCGCCCTGCAACACACACAGGGAATCGATCCTCGCGCCCATGGAACACCAAGCCCTCCATTCCTCCAGGGTGGCAAATTGGTACCGGACTGGCCTTTGAGGACAGCAGCACTGTATTCATTCATCGGCAGACCACCATGAGTCGTTGTAAAGGCCAGATGTGCATTCAATCACCTCCAACGATGCTTAGTGAAGTCGAATGCATGGCGCATCCCTCAGGGATTGATCAGTGCCGAAAGCTTTATTTTTTTGTTGTCATTATCGCTATTATGTTTTTACTTTATTACCATTTTATTGCCATTTATTGCCATTATTTACACGTGAAAGCTGGTTTGCATTACTCAAACCAAAATAGCTATTTAAATCAATCTGCACAATTCGGAGGAGTAAAAAGACATTGTCTTAGGAGAAGAAATGTCAAGAAGGGAAAAAATGGAAGATTGAGTCAAAGGCTACTTTTTGTATTACAGCGAAAACAAAAGCGACTGTCTGAAGACTGGATATTTTATGCTTCGTGTTTATGTGGTTATTCATCTCAGCGTTGTCTAGGTTTTCGAAGAGAAAAAGGAAAAGTTGAAAAGAACCACTATAAGTGAAACTTAGATTTTCAAATGAGCCGATGATTTGTAGGTGCGGCGGCGGTAGCCGAGCTAGTGCGAGTTTACGAGCACTGGGTTCCTCGGGATCGAATTATCACAACAAATACTTGGAGTTCGGAACTGTCGAAGCTGGTAAGTGGTAATTTTATAGTATATGAATAGGAATTTGAAGAACCTGTGAGAGGAAAAAGCAAAGGAAAAATCTATTGATGAACGAGTGAAAGTGAATGGACTCTTTGAGACGTGTATTTCGCACACACGATACAATATCGCTTAATAGTTTCTGTTATTTATCTACTCTTTTTCGATTCAGTGCTTGTGAAAAAACCCTCATCAGTTGTCTTTATTTTTATATGGGAAAAATTCGAGAAAGTTCAGAAATTTCCGGAGCATTTTCTTTAAGGAATAATGTAGGCATTTCGGCATAGTGGAATCCACAGAACTTTGAGGAGCTGTGAAGGCAGACAAAATATGATTAATCGCTTATCCATATCCAGGGATTAAAAGAACGGGATTTTCGCGGTTAATCATTTTTTGTCATTTTTTTTTTCATACTAAACCAGTCTATTAAAGGAGTATGACAATGCGCCATAATGGTTAATGCAGTCTCTGGTTAGATCCACGTAAACGAACCGATACCTTCATCGTTTCGATGTTAATAGAAAACTGATTTCTGGAGGTTGACGTACTGATCTGGTCATCCATAAGCTCATCCACAAGTAATTAAATAGGCTGGACTCATCTTTTTAGTGAGCTTATATTACTATTTTGGCGGTGAATCATTCTTTGAATCTTAACCTCTTAATCCATCGAGATCTTAACCTTTATCTTATGTTTTCTATTCGTTGTAAATGGGTTTCTAGGCATTACAGCTGAAGGATTTCCATTTTTCTGCCAAGCAACCCTTGAACATTTCATCTTTTTCCCGAATGTCATTTAATGGCAGTCGAATTGAACCCCTGTGGAATCCTGTGTTAGCTCATTTCGAGCGCTCATAATTCTTCAGCATAGGTATTCGCCGGCCTTTATCGATTGTGCGAAGCTTTTCTCAGAGAAATCTGGCCCTTATTTGCGAAAACCGAAGGAATGGGGGCTTGGTTGATTTCGTGCTGGGTGGAAGCAGAGACCATACATGTCTTCAACGGCTTCTGTAGCTACCACGCTTCTGGTGCGCCAGTGAGAAGCACAGAAGATCAGTATTTTGCCGAAAAATGAGTAAGAAAGTTAGCACGAAAGCGTAGTAATACTGTGCTAAACCGACTTTCACTTAGCCTCAGTGTGAATAGTTAATAAATTTCAACGGTAACAATCCAAAGATATTTATAAGGAAATGTACATTTTTCTTCGTCACAGTTTCAACAATGTGATAAATTTCAGGCGGCTAACGCATTTCTCGCTCAACGAATATCGTCCATCAATGCGATTTCGGCGATTTGTGAAGCTACTGGAGCCGATGTTAAAGAAGTTGCTCACGCTATCGGCTTCGATTCACGAATAGGCAATAAATTCCTGGAAGCCAGTGTAGGTAGGAGATAGTGTCACTTCGAACTACTCCACTTTTCCTTATTTGTTGTTTCAATAAAACATAACAAGGCAAGAAATTTGGAAAATATTTTATCTTCGTTAACGGCGCGAGTGGCGCAGTGGTTGGATGCGCCCTACAACACACATGTGGAATCGATCCCCACGTCCATGGCCCACCAAGTTTTCCATCCTTTCGGGGCCGGCAAATTGGTACCAGACTTGTCTGGGAGGATAGCAACACCACTGGCTCGATACATCGGTGGGCTACTGCAAGCCGTTGTAAAGACCAGATATGCATTCATTCACCTCCAACGATGTTTAATGAAGTCGAATGCATGGTGCATCTCTCAGGGATTGTTGATCAACACAGTGAGCTTTATCCTTTCTATCCTTTTAACCTTAAAATATGATTTTTGTTTCACTTGGTAGCAGAAAGAAAAGTTTTTTAATACATAATCACTCATACTTGTTTTTGAAGCACTTCGCTTCATCTTAAAATCGATATCTATTATTTCCACTACAGCACAAATACTGCGGTCGGAGTACTATTTATGGCTTGGCATGAGTAGTAGGATTCATGGCCGGCACAAAATGAAATACTCCACTTATTTTGTAGCTGATCGATGGTGCTGATCGAATTTCACGTGGTGCTTTGTTTCGATTTTTATGCTACATATCTGTTTTAGGATTTGGCGGTAGTTGTTTCCAAAAGGATGTCCTATCCTTAGTCTACCTGTGTGAATCTCTGAATTTACAAAAGGTGGCGGACTATTGGATGGGGGTAAGGAGGAAGATTTTTTTTGCTTTTACGCTCTATTTCTGTCAAACTTTTTGTTTTCTATCATTTTTTTCGTATTTTTATAAGCTTTTGTCTTCGTAGAGGTGCTGCAAGGATACTGAATGACTATTTTGATATATTTAGTGTTCTACAATGTTCCTTCAGGTAGTTGACATCAACTGTTGGCAACGTCGTCGATTCTCCGACAAGATCATTGCTGAACTATTCAACACCGTTGCTGATAAGAAACTCACCGTTTTTGGATTCGCCTTCAAGAAGGACACAGGCGATACAAGGCTCTTATTGAAATTTTAGAATATTAAAGTGTAGTTTATCAGAAAATCTCTATAGCACTCATTGCTATGCGTAATTTCAAAGACGATTACTGGTTTTATTTCGAATCCCAGTTCTCTAAGTAAGGCTACTAAGATTGATTTTTCAAGAGGAGAGGTTTTTATACGGTTAAGAAAGCTCGCCAGAATACTGATAAGGTCGATGTGTTTAGGGAATCGTCAGCAATCCATGTTATCAGTCATCTGCTTGAAGAACGCGCTCACATATCCGTCTACGACCCAAAGGTTTTCATTATTGAAATAAGCTTCTCGATTATTAAAAATGACAACTACGAAAATGAGTTTTCACTTAATTAGGTGACCGAAGAACAAATACGGTACGAACTGGAACAGCGTTCACCTTTTGAATTGGGTGAGTTCAACATTGCTCATCTGATTCGACTTAATGATATCAAGCCATACATTTCAGTGTCGAAACTGGTAACGGTACATGACAACCCCTATACAGCAGCCAACGAGTCGCATGCCATTGTCATTCTTACCGAATGGGATGAATTCAAAGTGAGTAGCATTATCTTTCATCATGTTTGAAGTAGGTTGCCTACTGACGATCGGGTCACCAGTTCGCGTAGAGCGTTCTATCCATTTGAAGTATTCCTATAGTCATCGCTGTTTATAAGCGCTTCCATCTTCCCTAGTGTAAGTAAAAAGTCATTCTATGCCTCGATGCGCTCTATGTTTACGCTTCATGCTCAGCACTCAAAACAAATGCTAATTAATCGGATATTCGAAAAGTCGAGATGTAGTTTAGATACCAAGAAATCCAATTCCGGGAACTTTTCAGTAAGAATTGACGATAAAAAGATAAAGAATAAAGATCTCGGCTTTGATCAATCCATTAGGGATGCGTCTTGTACTCGATTTCATTAAGCACAAGCATATGGAAGTGATTGAATACATATCTGGCCTATGCAATGACTCGCAGGGGCTTCCCGATGTATCGAATCCTTGCTGCTATCTTTCCAGACAGGTCTGGTACCAATTTGCCGAAAACGGAGAGATGGAAGGCATGGTGAGATTGGCGCTCGGGATAGATCCCTTGTGTATTGCAGGACGCCGCTAACCACTGCACTACACGCGGTCCCTTATTGAATCAATCACGAGTTGACTAAAGCGTTTGAACAGCTGTCGCTTGTCGCAGATTGACGCGCAGAATTAAATTAACACTCGATGTGAGCGACGCCGTGCGACTCGCGCGCGGCCAATTAGTAAGCTTTACGGTGTTACCCGTCCATGAACATCGATTCATTCGAACAACTTACAACCCGAATCGGATATTTATGATTAAGAAGACGTGGATCAATTTCGGCCATTGACAATTTTCGCCGTCTACGCGCCGACATCAAACTATGACGAAGAAGAAGCCGAAGCCTTTTATATTGACTTGGAGAAGTTCTACAGAGAAGACCGTACATTCTTCAAGGTCAACATTGGAGGTTTTAACGCCAAGATTGGGCCAAGATGAACGTCTGAACAACGTCACATTGGGAACTACGGATTAGAATGGAACGAATAGGGTCAGCGGCTACCCGAGTTTATTATGGCGAACAAGACAATCCATGGTAACTCGCAATTCCAGAAGCTCCACCCTCAGCGCTGGACGTGGGGGTCTCCCAATGGAGAGTACCGAAACGAAATAGATCTAATCATAGTAAATAGAAGGTTTTGCCTAACCGATGTCGCCGTTGTCCCAAAATTCTACACGGAACCAGACCATCGTCTCCTTCCTGCAAGATTCTATTTCTTGCGTAAAGGAGAAAAAGCCGCTAAATTCAAAAACCGAAGTCCCAGAAGCACCGTAAACTGGGATTTATTCAATTCATTAGTAGGCTGTTGGGAAGATGCCGTTGTCGATAACATCGACGAAGAATACTATCGGCTTATTCAACATCTTCACGCTAGCGCTATGAAAGCTGAGAGTTCGAAAGTCACCAAGAGACGTTTGTCTTCAGAAACACTCAAGCTGATACGCCAGCGTGAAAT